TCATTAACAACTAAAAAAAGTGTAGATACCAATCCAATTTGCTTTTATTTTTAATTCTTCCAAAGCATATATATTAACTCAACTTTGACTTATAAACCAACATCGTATGGTTGAATCTTGATTAATCCTAGAGGTTGACTTCGAAGCAAACGGATTTAATATACCAACTTTTCGAGAATGACGTTTGGAACACCCCATCTTCTTCCGAAAGATGAAGGATTTGTTAAAATAATCTGAATCCATTATATATAATCTACTTAGTTTAAGGATAATCAATCAATTAACTATTTTATGGGATCCGAAACAGAAGACCTAATACATCACACGTAGCCCATTAAGCACGTGGACTGCAACATGCTCTGGAAGATAATTCGCTGGCTTGATTGCATTTTGTGCTTTTAGTAATAATTCTTTGTTGATCCCAATACAAGCGTAACGTACGTCGTATTTAGTCCAATGTATGCCGACAGATGGTAATCTATTAATTGCATCTTCATTTCCCATATTGCCCATAGATTCAAGAAACTTAGTAAGTGGATATTGGGAATCTTTCATTTGATGACAAGTAAAATATTTTTTTTTTTTTGAAAATGACAGATTCAAGAATTATTAATTATATTCGTAACATGACAAATTTTTTTCCCCTACGTCTCTATCTCAATTTTTTTGGGAGTTTCACGCAATCATGTTCACAATTTTGATGGGATGATAATCTGAGCCCGGTTAACCATGGTACATGTGGATAATCTAGTTCGCAAGGATGCTGAGGGAGGTTTGCGTTAAATAGATGATAAGGTGAAAGAGATTATAAATAGAAGGTCTTGGTTTCAATACCTCTCACTTATAAGAAACATTTTCTTTTTTCAGAATAGTTCACAAAGATGCCTATCGAAAACGCGGATTGAGTCAATTTTGTTGGAGAGGTTAAAAAAAAAACACTTGGAGAGTTCGGAAGTAAATATGAGCAAACGAATAATGGTTGTATGGTGAAATTTGAATGCCCAATAACTGAATATGGTAGTGTCAAAATAAATTCTATACAAACTAAGCAGTTGAACAATCATTCGCATTTAATTGTACTATTAACAGGATAAAGCTGTTAAACAGCATACCATTTTCAGGTTGGCAGCTGTTAATGCAGACTTGTTATTTTCAAGTTATTGAAGGAAGATGAATATCGAACTTAATTTTTGGATCCTATCTGTAAAAGGACACATTTATTTACAAAAAAAAAAAGATCTTAATAGTATGGTGGACGTCTACAAAAAGGCATGGTAGAAAAAGATATATTGGAAATTGAAAACAATTGAAACACTAAATAATTAGCAAACCCTTCAAGAGAGTTAATTTAAAAAGTAAATCTTATATAAACTAATAGTGCATGTATTATCACCGTTGGATCTATAACACATGTACAAAAATTGAATTTCAAATTCAAATTTTGCATAGTTGTAATTCATTTAACGCTGACAGTGTATATACTATCAGTGTAGAAAATGTTAATCCTAATTTAACTGAGCCGGAAGAAAGTTCAAATCCCTGCAAATTAAGATGAAATAAGCAACCAAGAAAATACTCTTTAAGGATACTTTGGTCATTCACGGTATAAAAGAGGAAAATGGCAATGACAAAGGAGGAAGGTTTTGACCAAAAACCATCAATCACGCCCAAAATTAAACACAGAGCCCATGTAAGGGAAGATCAGAAAGTGACACATTGACCAAGTAAACACGTCTAATCCGCCTATGAAACAGTAGAGAAGAAGTGTAGGCTGGGATTTGATATCACATGCAAACTCCTTCCTTATTCCTAACGGCTCGCTAGCCAACCGCCCGCGCATCTTATAGCTACTTACAATTCACACGTTCATGCTCAAGATTCAGCACTTTGCCAAGAGTATGAAAAAATTCTTCGTATGAAAAAAGCATGTGAAATGGTGTGATGTCAAACTCATGTTTTAGTGTTATATCTCGATTTGCTGCTAAAATTGATCTTATACTTTATTGGACTAACTCTTTTATTGGTAAAGTATATCTAGAGACTGGAGTTTATGTTATGTTTGGACTAACTCTTTTAATGCGTAGCCACCTCAAAAATATTTTAGCTACAACTTGCTTAGCATTCGCAGGTATAATGTGGTGTAATCTCCTATAATTTAATGATTGAACTACTATTGGTCCACAGCATTTTGTTTCACATTTATATATTAGCCCTCCTAAGTTTCAAAAATTTCAAAATTCAACACGTCTTATTTCTTAAATTTGAAAAATTTTAATTTTTACATGTGTAAGAAACTTAACCGGTCACATCTTAACATCTAAACTGCTGCAGGTCATGAAAGACATAACTAAGTAATTAGGAACCTTTTTTCTTCATCTAGAACAAGAGTTTAATTAATTCTTACCCATATTTCTCTATTTAGAATCTTCCTTCCTATTCTTAAAAAGGCTGCGCGCCGGGGTGTGTGTTTCCAAATGAAATGAGGGAGTAAACACATATTAGTCAGAAAATAAAGGACCAAAACTGTAATTTGTGCTATATTAACTAAAGCATCCCTACCCCCAACAAATTCTATAAAAGCCCATTTCCCTATTGAATCCTACCTCCCCAAGCCACCACATTCTCCAAAAAAATATTAGCAGCAAGTCTATTTTCTTCAAAAGTTTCCGTCATGTTCACCAGTACTAGTGACCACGCAATGTTTGACTGCCCTTCAAGGCCACCGGTCATGGGGAGAAGATGGAAGTCCAGCACTGAATCAGCACCAAATTGTCCTAGGTGTGCCTCTGCTAACACAAAATTTTGCTATTACAACAACTACAGCATGTCACAGCCCAGATACTTCTGTAAAGGCTGCAGGAGGTACTGGACTAAAGGTGGATCGTTGCGAAACGTCCCAGTAGGTGGCGGATGCCGGAAAACTCGTCGAAGCAAGTCTGCCCGGCAGCCGGACCGGCTGGGCTTAATTTATCAGATGCCTAGCCCTGGCAGCGCTAGTGATGAGTCAAATAATTCAAGCAATGGAGCTGACATTGATCTAGCGGCAGTTTTCGCCAAATTCTTGAATCAAGATAATTCAAGCAATGATCTTGACAAAATTCATGTCAGCACTGATCAAGAATCATCTTCGAGTGGAGTAAGTCCCACATCCCTAGATTTACCTCTGGGCTATTTGGATAGAGAAAATCAAATTGAAGACATGATATTCCAGTGTCAAAAGCCATCTGATTTCATTGATGGGGATCAGATGCATGAAGGGCATCCTTCATTAAGCATAGATGTAGATAATGTTGAAGAACTTCTGGATCAAAACTGCAATGCATTCGAGTTGCAAGCTATTCTTGGTGAAGAGATTGGTGAGGATGCTTGCTTGTCTGATGGGATAAGTTTACCAAATTTTGAATGGCAATCAACCTTGCAATTCCAAGATTTTGGATCATTTTCCACAGATCATGCAATGAAAATCCCATCAAATTTGGCTGATGACAATTGGAACACATTTGATGTGTCGGCAGGTTATGAAATTTTTTCAAGACCTTGGAATTGTATTTAGTACCAGAATTAGCAATTTTTTTTTTTAAAAAAATCTTGTTCAAGCTGTTAGCTGTCACAATCTCATGAAAGAGACATAGGGTAAAAGTTAATTGATCCTTATATATGCTACAAGAGAATAAATTTTTGCCCAGAAGAAATTACAATTGTCTAATTTAGTTGTGAACTTCATTACTTAAGATCGACTATGTGGGAAAAAAAAAAATTAATTCCAGCAGTTATGACACATGGGGCTACGTGAACTTGGGGCAAAGCAACATTTCCACCATTTTCCAATCTTTTTTTGGTCTTTAAACTTATACCGCCTTCTATACTTTCATTGATACATATTCGAAGAATCCTTGTGTAAATACAAAGAGGAGATTGTTTGTGACAGTGCTGGGTGCTGGCTTTTCTCTGAAATATTCTTAATTTTTTTTTAGTTTTTATAATGCAAATGGAAACTTTTATTAAAATCAAGAAAGCAGATTCACGAGCAGTAACAACCACCCTTTGCAAGTATCAAAGAAACAGAGCTGAGGAAAACAAAACTAGGATAACCTACTACATACTACACTACAATGATTCTTAAATTCATTAGCTCTAGAATAAATAAAAGCTTCTCTAAAATATAACCAAACATTACAATATTAAAAGCACTTCAAAAGGAACCCAAAAAAAAAAAAATACCATAGGAAAATACATTGTTTAATAAGTATGGTACTCGAATAATAAAGGCGTGCATTTAGTTATTGATTATGGTATACAGCCTTAAGACAATCTGAGTGCAATTGGAAGAATAAAAAGATCCTTTGAGGCTATAGCAATGTTTTGAAACTCATACCGTTAATTGAATCGGTGAAGTGATCGGGTCGAAATTCAACCGGTCAGACCGATTCAACCCCGGTTCAATGATATTAAATATAGATATGTATATATATATACACATACACACACATACATATATATACACACACAGACACATACATACACACACACACTTGTGCACAGAATAAGATTATTCTATGGACTAATTCAAGACATCACTTGATAAAAAAGTTAAATATTTTTAAACAAAAATAAATTTTTAAAATTGTAAATTCAAACAAATAAATTCATCTCAACTGTACCAGCTAGAAAAAAATCTTAAATCCTACACAAACCACAACCATATTCTGAAATTAAACAAAATGCATTAGAACTTCTAAAATTAAACAAAATCTAATAGAACTATAAAAGAAAATGATGATCTTTGAGTTTGAGGGTGAGAAATAGAGAGAGTTTGGTTACTCTTTTAGAAATAAGAGTTAGGAACAAAAGATTTGACAGATAAGTTTTATGTTTAAAACTTTAGGTTCATTTAAAGTGGGAAAAATGAAAAAATCGTGGTTCATGGTTCAAGCCGAGTTGAACGGTCCGACAGATTTTTAGCGGTTTTGACCGCTTTTTATAAAAGCCAACAATCAGTAATGAACCGGACCGGAGACTTGGCCGGTTTGCGGTCTGATCAATCGAACTCGCCGATCCAGTCCGATTTTCAAAACATTGGGCTATAACCAAATATAAGCTAAAAACTAGAACTCATTGACCAAATTGACCTTCAACTTTATCAGAGCCAGCTCAAATTCATCATACATTTTTGGAACTTCAAACCGTGATTTAAGAAAGAAATATGATGTTTGACAACGTACTCAAGTAGTCAACTCATAATTGATAGCAAGCCATGCAAATTTACTTTTAACCTCGAACTCCAATTCAAAGTCGTGACATCTTCGTTAAAAGGGAAAAAAAAAATGTCGTCACATCTGGTACATTGCACAGACATCATTTCCTTTTTGTCATCTTTATAGGAAAAAAATTACATTAAACATTTAAATGAAAATAATAAGTATAATCTTTGCCAACTTTTTATGGCTCCCAACTCTTACATAAAACAAAAAAAAGATAGACCCCACCCACCAAAAAAGAGAAGAAGAAGAGAAAAACCAAAACAAGGTAAAATGCAGGACTAAATGCAAAATAAATTAAAAATATATTACAGTGCAGAGAACAATTTAAAAAAAAAATATTTACTCTGTCTTAGGTACTATGATATATTAATCACAAATATTTCATATTCGATTGAGGCATTTATCATGTTTAACTAGATGTTTATGTGCTGTAAGAATCTATCACTTAATTAATATATCAAGAATCTCCAAATCTAAGGGCTCAATATCATTAACTTCAGATAGTTTATATGGCTCCTTGAATCTCATGTAATTGCGACATATCTACTTAATAATCTGTTTCCCCATTACATATGTGCACCTCGTTTAATACGCATGCGAGGCCATGCTGCTGCTTTTGACATACCTAGAATCCTAAACCCAAAAAAAAAAAAAAAAAAGAGAGCACCCACATAGACATAGACACATCTGCACAACAAAACAGGGTAATCTGAATACGTGACCTAAAGGAAACTTTAAATTAAAACTTGAAGTCAGCTAATCCTCCAATTAATTTCATCATGACTCCTGCACATATCAAGGTTAAATTGCACAATCATTTGACAGGATCCCGCCTTCATTAACATTAGCTGAAGACCTGTCTCAACTAAGTTTCATGCTAGCTTATGGTACTTGGGGTTTTATTTGCTGCAAATATTAATGATTCATACAAGGAAAAAAAAACCTTACAAATCAAAAGATTTTCTTCAAATACATCTAACAAAGGATGCTAACAAAGGACGTTTCTTGAGTAATTGAGTTTAGAATAAGGCAGATATTAATTTGAGTTTAACCTAGCCCTGGTCAGTCAAGCTATTTATGTGTCGCAACACTTGAGCATTTTGGTTCAATTCTAGATGATGATACAATACCCCCTCCCCCCGGGTTTTTTTTTAATCATGGATAGTGGTAGAAACGTAACATACAAAATAATCAAAAATTTGTCACCTTCAAAAGAAAGAAAAAAAAAAAAAAACAGGTGTACAAAGCAAAGCAAGGTACAAAATTATGCGAACTGTGAGTCTGAACTTATCTTGGATTCTCACCAAGAAGGTAAAAGTAACAAAGTGAAGATTCAGTTCAACGTAAGTGCAAAACATCAAGAACTTTTCTCACAAAGCCACTTAACTTTAACGTATGCTTGGCGTTTTCTTCATGGGATAGTACAAACAAGTTTCCTCAATTCTCAAGTCGTGTACAAACAGACAACCACAACCAATTTCCTCTGTAACTGAAAAGCCCAGCGAGCATTCATTTTCACTATTTTCTTGGCCACAGAAATAGAGAAACCATCAGCAGCTTCAGCCCGTGGAAATGACTATAGTGGAGGAAAAAGAGCCCGTATTGAAGTTCCTGTTGGATGTAAATTTGATCCCGCTGATGAAGAATTGATGTTTTATCTGAGGAACAAAATTCTGGGTGGTCGCGATGATTTGCCTAACTATATTTCAACCGCTGATGTTTTTAGAACAAGCCCTGATCAACAACCCTGAAAGTGGAGGAAATTGATGTTTCAGCTTGCCTAACTATCCAACCAATTGGTTCATATGCAGCTTCAATTTTCAGTTTTTTCCTCTCATCTAAGATTTTGGTTGCGATTCTTCAATTGCATGTCCGTAATTTTGACGGATGAAGTTTCAAATTTTGTCAGCGTGGATGAAGTTTCAATTTCTTCTTCCTTTTCTCTTTTTGTGTTTTTCCAGCATGCATGTTGGTTTAAGTTATCAGAACGACTAATTATGTGAAATTTTTTGGTTCTACCTTGTGATCGGATTAGACTTGATTCTTTCGAATGGGGGCTGTAAAATTACTTTTCTTGGTTGAGGCACTCCTCGATGAATGAATTGAGTGAGTTGGTTTGCAAGTGCTTAAAGCAGTCCCTCTATCTACCTCTTCCCAATTGGTAGATGGATGATTTGAGGTTGATTCTTCAACTACTCGAGCTGCTCTTACTCCCCGCCCATATATTTTTGCATCCCATAGTTTCAACAAATCGTTTAGCTCCGTTCATCTTCGGTGCAAGAGTGCTCGATCAGTGAAGAGTACGGACCCCATTGTGGGTAAATGGAAAACCAACTGTACAAACCCAAGGAAAGGCTGCACAGCAAGTAATAGGGGAATTTTTGGCCGAAAGAGTGTGGGGGCTTGGGGCTGAGAAACCTATCAAATTTGAAGCTCTAGAAACTACAGGGGGACAAGATTTACTGAATTTGTGGTGAAATACATCAATATGACCTACAAATGTTTTTTTTTGGTCAAAACTTCGTTGTTTGGTTCCCAAAATGAACTAAAAAAAATAAAAAAACAAAAGGATACATTGTTAAATCTCCTTGCGTTACACCTATGTGGGACTTAGCAAACATGATTTGGCTTATTAAATGTTATTATTTCTTTTGTACAATGTCTAAAGGTCGATTCTCGATCACAGTTCATTATTATTATAGTTATTATTAGTAAACGTCATTCTCTTTCCGATCTATCACTTGCTGATTGGTAGCCATCCTCTACTTATTCCAATAATACTTTTGAATTAACTCTTCTTAGACCCTTTAAATAATAAGTTAGACTAAAGCGTAAACGTACAGCTTCAAAAATATATATATATTAGAGAGCAGTCCCTATGCAAGTTCTATCTTCTTTTGTCAAGGACAGGTAACATCTGTCTTTTAATTTCTTAAGGATTCTCTTTGCCATCTTTGTTGGATTTCTAATCTGTCAGTTGTTTTGATGATTAGACATTTCCTATATCTACCTGGTTATTAGTTTGCGTCCAATAGATCATGTTCTTGAAAATTATATTAAATGTCATTTCAAGTTAATGCAGTTAGCTGTTAATCATTTCCAAAGCTTTTTTGATAATTTGTAGATAGCTGCGAGTATAGCACCGGAGAGAAATGGTTTTTTAACACCGTAGCGCCAAATGACAATGTGTTCACTGGAGATGGTTATTGGACCCCTACATCTGAAAAAGCCATCTACACTGGTGGACAAGCAGATGGTTACAAGAAAGAATTCATCTACCATCGTGGAACAGAACATCCTGGAAAAAGAACCAATTGGTGCATATACCAATTCAGGCTAAATCCAGATGTGTATGTAGCAAATGCTATTGGCAATACTGTTGAATATAAGGCAATCAATTTTCTTCTTATGTAAAAAACCATTTACATATTAAGATTGCCGTGAGTATGTACAACTCCCCTTTGGAAATGCTATCCTTGATTTTAATGCTATGGGATTAAACGAACTATGGGATGTTAAGGTAATCAACTCCCCTTTGGTAATGCTATCCTTAACTTTAATCCCATAGTTTTGACAAATGTTTGGCCCCATTCATTTTCGGCGCAAGAAGTGATTACTTGAAATGTTGTTGAATATGTACATTACCATTTTGTTATCTCATACTTACATTAATTAGACTTCTAATAAAGTTCTAATAAGAAAGTGTCTTTGTTTTTGCAGATATCAAGTATTGTAGCCTGCATGGTATTCCGTAAGGAAGCTGTTGTCCAGTCGAATCGTCGAAAGAGAAAGAAAAAGAGAAAGAAAAAGAACTAATGAGCTTTTAGACTACCAGAAGATTAAAGTTTGCAATCGAAATATCAAACTTGTAGGAAGAAGTCCTTAGATTGCGAACATTGATGCAATGTATAGATTTTGAGTTGTTTGTATTAACTTTATGATTATGTTGCCTGTCAAAACGTACTTTTGATATATCGAGAATATGTCTTCTTGTTGTTCTCGACATATTTCATCATTGGTGTCTTGGATTTTTCAACTCTTTTGGTACCAAAATCAACATTAGTCATCTTGGCTCCCATTTTATTTCCAAATCCAAACATTTAACATTAGGGCCGTCAACAACTCCCAATGTTTCCTTAATTTGAATGAAGTGGTCAATATTAAGCGCATGATATTGGCCTATTGCAAAAGTTTAACAACGCCTTAAGAAGACACACAAGAAGGCAGGGATTAGCACTGTATATGCATCACGCCCTTATAAGCTAAGCTTAAGTAGTGACCTCCGGGGATTTGATGATTACAGCTTTGGTTTTCAGGGGTTGAATATTTTGTAGACCCAATCTAATGGAACTACAGAGATTGTAAGGTACTTTAAAAGGGTAATATTTGGGTTTGAGGGTCCTAATCTAAAACCCCTACTTGAAACTCAAAATACAAGAGCCAACCGTATATACATTACTTTTTTATGTCTAAAGTGCTTAAAGATTCGGTTGAAGTTGAATTAAGTCCAAAACTTCAAGTACTCACCAAAATGCTCCGCCGTGTGTATTTGGTTGTTTGAGTATGGTATACAACCTTGAGACAATCTGAGTGCAATTGGAAGAAGAAAATGATCCTTTGAGGCTATATAGCCAAATATAAAATATAAACTAAAAACTAGAACTAATTAACCAAATTGAGCTTCAACTTTATCAAAGCCACCTCAAATTTATCATACATCTTTGGTACTTCAACCCACGGTTTATGAAAGAAATATGATGTTTCACCATGTACTCTAGTAGTTAACACATAATTGATAGCAAGGCACACAAATTTTCTGTTTACCTTGAACTCCAATTCAAAGTCTTGACATCTTCGTTAAGAAAAAAAATATTACTGTTTCTAAGTACTATGATATATTGATCACATTCATACTCGATTGAGGCATTTATCATGCACAACTAGATGTTTATGTGCTGTGAGAATCTATCACCTAATTAATATATCACGAACCTCCAAATCTAAAGGCTTAACATCATTAAATTTAGTATTTAGATAGTGTAACTGAAACATATCTACTTAATAATCTATTTCCCCATTACATGTATGCACCTCATTTACCATGCATGTGAGGCCGTGCTGCTGCTTTTGACATACTTAATATCCTAAACACAATCATTTTTTTTTAAAAAAAAACACCCTCATAGACAAAACAAAATTGGGTAATCTGAATCCGTGACCTGAAGGAAACTTCAAATTAAAACATGAAGTCGGCTAATTCTTGAATTTATTTCATCATGACTCCTGCATATCGCAAGGTTAAATTGCACAATCATTTGACAGGACCCCGCCTTTCATTAACATTAGTTGAAGAATTTTCTCAACCAAGCTTCGTGCTAGCTTATGGTACTTAACAAGGGTTTTATTTGCTGCAAGAACCAATGATTTATACAGGGAAAAAAATAACTTACAAATCAAAAAATTTTCTCCAAGCGCAGCTAACAAGGGATGTTTCTTGAGTTGCGAGAGAAATCAACTTGAATTCAGACTAAGGCAGAAATCAACTTAAGTTTAGCCAAGTAAGTTCTAGTTGAATCAAGTTGTTGATGTGTCGCGACTTAGTTACATTTCAACAATTTGGTTCAATTCTAGATATAGATACAACATCCCTTCCCATTTTTTACCTTGGATAGTGGTACAAATATGACATACAAAATAATAATAAATTTGTCACCTTTGGGAAAAAAAAAAAAGGTGTACAAAGCAAAGCAAGGTACAAGATTATGCGAACAGTGAAGCCTGAACTTATCTCAAATTCTCACCAAGAAGCTAAAAGTAACAAAGTGAAGATTCAGTTCAACATAAGTACAAAACATCAAGAACTTGTCTCACAAAGCCACCTAACTTTAACGCATACAACTTGGCTTTTTCTTCATGGGATAGTACAAAAACGTTTCCTCAATTCTGAAGTCGCGTACAAACAGATAACCACAACGTATTTCCTCACTGAAAAGCCCAGAAAGCATTCATTTTCACAATTTTCTTGGCCTCAGAAATGGAGAAACCATCAGCAGCTTCAGCAGGGGGAAATAACGATAATCGAGGAAAAAGGGCCCCTGTTGAAGTCCCTTGTGGATGTAGATTTGACCCAACCGATGAAGAATTGATGGTTTATCTGAGGAACAAAATTATGGGTGGTCGCGATGATTTGCCTGACTATATTTCCACCGCTGATGTTTTCGGAACAAGCCCTAATCAGCTCCCATTTGGTAATTCTATCCTTAACTTTAATTGGTTGATAAGAAACTTCAATTTTCAGTTTTTTCCTTTCATCTGGAATTTTGGTTGCGATTCTTCAATTGCATGTCCGTAATTTTGAGGGGATTTAACGAAATTTGTTTGGAGCCGTGTAATTCTGTCAGCGTGGATTAAGTTTGAATTTCTTCTTTATTTTCTTTTTTATTTTTTAGTGTTTTTTCAGCATGCATGTTGGTTTAATCAGAGCGAATAATTTTGTGAAATTTTTTTTGGTTCTACCTTGTGATTGGATTAGACTTGATTCCGGATTCTGCAAGTATGAATTTTAGAATGGGGGCTGTAAAAATGACTTTTCTTCGCCGAGGCACTCCTCGTTGAGTGAATTGAGTGAGTTGGTTTGCATATGCTGAAATCAGTCCCTCTCTCTACCTCTTCCCAATCTGGTAGGCGGATGGCTCGAGGTTGATTCTTCAACTGCTCAAGCTACTCATACGCCCCTACTGATATATTTTTACATCCCATGGTTTCGAAAAATCATCTTGCCCATTCATCTTTGGCGCAAGAGCGCTTGATCAGTGAAGAGTGCATCATGATCTGTGGCCGCCTGGCTGATGGGGGCGGCTCCTTCAAACTCTACAAACCTGAGGAAAGGCTGCACAGCAGTAGTAGGGGAGTTGTAATTGGCTGAAAGAGTGTGAGGGCATGGGTTTGACTGAATTTGTGGTAAAATACATCAATTTGAGCTGCAAATGTTTTTTTGTCAAAACTTCGTTGTTTGGTTCCCAAAATGAATTGAAAAAACAAAAGGATACATTGTTAAATCTCCTTGCATTACACCTATGTACGACTCAGCAAACATGATTTGGTTTATTAAATGTTATTATCTCTTTTGTACAATGTCTAAAGGTCGATTCTAGATCACAGTTCATTATTATTGTAGTTATTATTAGTAAACGTCATTCTCTTTCCGATCTATCACTTGCTGATTGGTAGCCATCCTCTACTTATTCCAATAATACTTTTGAATTAACTCTTCTTAGACCGTTTAAATAATAAGCTAGACTAAAGCGTTAACGAACAGCTTCAAAAAAAAAAAAAGTGTTAGAGAGAACTTCCTATGTAAGTTCTATCTCTTCTTTCCTTAAGGGCAGGTAACATCTGTCTTTTACTTTCGTAAGCACTCTCTTTGCCATCTTTGTTGGATTTCTAATTATCATCAGCATCTGTCGATTGTTTCGATGTTTAGACATTTCCCATATCTACCTGGTTATTAGTTTTGCATCCAACAGATCATGTTCTTAATAATTATATTAATGGTCATTTCAAGTTAACGTAGTTAGCTGTTAACCATTTCCAAAGCTTTTTTTTTTTTTGGATAATTTGTAGATAGGTGCGAGTATAGTGCTGGAAAGAAATGGTTTTTTTATACCGTAGGGCAAAATGACGATGTGTTCACTGGAGATGGTTATTGGACCCCTACATCTGAAGAAGCTATCTGCATTGATGGTCAAGTAGATGGTTACAAGAAAGAATTCACGTACTATTGTGGAACGGAACATCCTGGGAATAGAACCAATTGGTACATACACCAATTCAGGCTAAATCCAGACGTGTATGGAGCAAGTGCAGTTGGCAATAATCTTGACTATAAGGTAATCAATTTCCTCTTATGTAAAAAACTATTTACTTCGTCATATTGCTATGAATATGTACATTACCATTTTGTTATCTCAAACTTACTTTAATTAAACTTATAATAAAGTTCTAATAAAAAAGTGTCTTTGTTTTTCAGATATCAAGTGTTGTAGCCTGCATGGTATTCCGTAAGGAAGCCGTAGTGCAATCGAATCGCAGAAAGATAAAAAGAAAGAGAAAGAACTAGTGAGCTTTTAGGCGACCAGAAGATCAGAGCTTGTAATCGAAACATCGAACTGGTAGGAAGAGGTGATGAAATTCAAGCTTTGCAGAATCAAGTTCCCTAGATTGCAAACATTCATGCAATGTATAGATTTTGGGTTGTTTGTATTAACTTTATGATTATGTTGCCTATCTTTCACATCAAAACGTATTTTTGATATGTCTTCTAGTTGTTTTCAACATATTTCTTCGTCGTTGTTTTGGATTTTTTGACTCTTTTGGTACCAAAATCAACAATTGTCATCTTTGCTTCCATTTTATTTCCAAATCCAAAAATTCAACATTAGGGCCATCAACAACTCCCAATGTTTCTTAATTTGAATGAAGTGTCAATCTTAAGCGTACGATATTGGCCTATAACAACGCCTTCAGAAGACTTACAAGAAGGCAGGGATTAGCACTGTATATGCATTTCCGGGGATTTGACGATTACAGGTTTGGTTTTCAGGGTTTGAATATTTTCTAGACCGAATCTAATATAACGGAAGAGATTGTAAGGTACTTTAAAAGGGTAATATTTGGGTTTAAAGGTCCTAATCTAAAACCCCTACTTGAAACTCAAAATACAACAAAGAACAGTATATACATTACTTTTCCATGTCTAAAGTATTTGTGATGGCTCAAGCCTTAAAGCTTCTAAAATTATACATAGAATTCTTAACACAAGTATGAGATTGATGAACAAAAATGAGAAATCTAAATCTCATCTGGAAACTGAATATGGCATAACCTTGGTATGAAACTATACAGCAACTCAATTGTATAGAGGAATTGTTGGTGAGGTAAATATAACTATTTTGACTTATAAAGTTAAACATTCAGCTTTTCAAAAATTTCAAGACAAAGCATGCTTATATTTTCAGCAACATTTTGAGTAATCACTTCTTTTCTTTTTGTAGAAAAGAATAACTACAATTTAAGAATGGTTAAATAACAATATCAAGGAGTATTACTAAGTTTCTTAAAATGATAAAATTATAGATTTATTTCTACAAAAATTTTGGTTGAGGAAAAGGCCACAAGAACTCCAATAAATTATGTTTTAGATATACGAATGGTAAAGAAAAAACCACCTATGAACTTTAAAATTAAAATACAAGGTACGCAATTTCTTTTCTTTTCATTTTCCTTTTTTTTTGTGGAAAAATGCACCTAGTCTTTTTGTTTTTTAGATTGAACACTTTGGTGATAAGCAAAGAGAGATCTTACAAAGGTTCAGAGCACCAGCAAATGCACATATTCTTATTAGTGAATGTAGGCATCCATATCTTGGATCCGGCCTGATTTTGATGGTCTGAAAAATTCGTTTGACAAATTATTGCATATGTAGTAAGATGTGTATTAGGATTGTAACCATGTTAGTCATTGACATATTAGTTATTCAGTTTTCACTTAATAATTTATATTTATTTGAATTAACTGTATTTATTTGAAAAAATAATTTGTATTAACACTTTCATTGTAGGGGTTACACATGTTATATATACAGAATTTCGATTTCAAATTCAAATTATTATTGGTTGTCATGTATCTCAAGTTAATAGTGTATAAAGATTAATTTTAAAAAGAATTATTTTTAGACTGAATATTAAATTTACAAATAAAAAGAAAAAGAGAAAGCTATTAATTGACATTCATTACCACTTCCCCGCGAGAAGAAGGTTACAAAACTGCTTAAAGATTCGGTTGAACATAAGTCCAAAACTTCAAGCACTTACCAAAATGCAACACTGCGTGTTCTTGGCTTCTTCTTGCAAATATTTTTGTAACTGAAGCTTCCTGTTCTTTTCCTCCATTCATCTCTACCTCGAGAGAAAACTCACTTTTAATTTCTTCTTCTTCAACTCACAAAAAGTAATGGCCAATCCAGCTCCAGCACCAGCTGGAGGTAATGATGGTGGCAATGGGAACTTAGCTGATTTTGGGGTCTACTTTGACCCTACTGATGCTGAACTGCTTGGTTTCTCGACGAATAAAATCCTGAGTCGACATGAATATTTTCAGGACCTCATTCCCACAGCTAATGTTATTTGGAATTGACCTTGATCTACTCGCATTTGGTAATATGAACTTTTTCCCTTTTTTTGTATCCGTAAATTAACATGCAGTTCTTGTTTGGGGGTTTTACTCATTTTCAGGGTTTTTAATTCTGATCATTGGGTTGCATGTCTATTATTTTAGTGGCATCTCATATCTTGAGAACTTGTTTGAAAGCTTACAAGGTTCTTTACGAGCAATATGTGATTTAAGTCAATTATTTTGATTCTTGATGTTTTTTCTTTGGCATGCATGTTGATATAAATCAACTATTTTAGGCTTAATTAAACTTTTAATTATGATTGCCTCCTAGCTGTGTATAAGAATCCTGGTCATATAAATACAATACTAAATGATTAAATTTGTGCTCTTGAATCCCTTTTCCTTTAGGGTTTGGTTTAAGAATTGGAGTTTTCTTTATTTTTTTTTCTTTAAAAATATTTCTGTTTGTTTATTTCCATTATACCGGCCTCCTTGGACTAGTTAGCTTGTGATTTGTTTTGGAAAACTTGTATTTTTTGTGTGGTAAGATGCATCGTTTGATTGTAAAACTAAAACCCCCTTTTTTTCAAATAGTCCAGCTGGTCAAGTTTTCCTGTAGATTTCATTTGTGTTGATGTTGATTGAAGCATGCAATGTTTTTTCTTTTTTTTTTTTAAATTAGTTATTGTGATCTCTCGACCAAATCTTTTATTTATGTATTTTTAGCACTCTTTTGTTGATGTACTACAGGACGCACATCAGGACTTAGGACAGCTATGTTCCACCTATTGCTGACACATTCACATAGTATTCTTGTAATCCGGCTACACAAGTCTAAGAGGATAAGTATTTGTCAAGATGGAGCAAGAAAAGAAGTTCTAAGTCTAATCCAAAAGCCCTGAAAGTAAGGTTAAAAGTCTATAAGAACGCTGAGAGGATATTTACTATCAAGATCGAGTGGTATTCGGCTGTTGAATCTGATAGATCAGTTCAGAAGTGTATGGATGGGCATGTATATCAGATCATTGCCAGTTAGGTAACAATCTATATTTTGTGGTCTGATTATTTTACTGTTTTTATCTCTAGCTTTTCTTTAGGCAGTCTCTATGTTTTTTCTTTGTCTTTTTGGGGGTTAGTTAGAATTATCTATATGTCTTTGTGAAGGGTTTGCTGGATTAGGATTGCATAAAATTAGGGTCAAAATATTGGAGAGACTTACTATGTTCTGCAAGAACGGAGATTATCTGATTGGTAATTGGGAAGTCTAAAAATCTTTCTTACACCAAATGAGATTTTAGTCTAGTAGATTTCCAGTCACTTATATCTAGTTGGAAAAAGAAAAAACATTGGCATTTTCCTTTTAAGCTTCTTATCTCCTGGCACAGTGTTACAGAACACATAGCTTTACAACATCAGAGCTCAAAGATAGCTTGAGGCTGGAGAAGTTTAAGACACAAGTATCTCATCTGTCTTCAAATCTCTTTTCCTCTTTGTAAGGTTGGAGACTCAAATTCTTTATCTGAAACATCATTCTGTTGCAATTGTTTTTCTTATTTACTTAATTTCTATGTTCTCCTTTGTTTCATTCTCTGTGGATTGACTCCTAGGTCACATTTTTAGAAACCTAATAACAGCTATGAAGCATGAACAGTCACTTTGTTTGTTGAAACTTCTTACCAGCGGAGATGTTCTAGATCATACATGGTAACCAATCTCCAAATCTTTCAAATTTGTCCTGGATTTTACTCTTCCTTAAATTTAGTGGACTCAACTAGAGCCCGTAATAGCTCCAACAAGTATTAGAGATCAATTTTAATGTAACATCTAATCTAATTTTTTCTTGAAGATTTCTTCTTTGCCTTATTTTATGCGTGTTCTTCATTAACTACATTTCATCTTTAGGTTTTTTCCAGCTGTTTATCTTTCTTTGTTAATCAAGCTTCAGCATGTGATTCTTGTTGCACTCCGGGAAGGGAATGATTTTCTGCGAGGACCGTAGCTCTGCAGGAAATATGCTTCAGCTGCGATTGAGGAATAAAATGTAAGAAAAACTTTAAAAGCCCTACAGTCTGATGATCAGTCTCCTGAAAGGTGGCAAGATGATGCTTTGTGTCATTCTTATAACCTCACTTTCTGCTTCCCTTTTTGATCAATTGCTGCAACGTGAGAAAGGGAAGAAACATAGCACATGCTACTTTGTAGAAAGAAAAGTACTAAGAGATATCTTTGGACTATCATAATTAGCTTATGGAGCATCTTGCTCAACTTCACAATTATCTTACATGTTTCATATTTTCTTGGCCATTGAGTTTTCTTGATAATTTACCATTTGAAAGGGATCACATAGGTGGAGTGAGCACCAACTTTGTAACTTTGGCAGTTCCTAAACTCTATATATCAGTGTGCTACATAATTTGGCCTTTCTTTCTTCTTCTAAAACCAATAACAAATTACTTGTTACGAAAAAGAAATATTGAAGCAAATTGGCTTGAACATGTTTGACTAATCATAGATATTCTTTGATCAATGAAAGTTCATGCACTTTGTTATTCATCTGCCGTGCGGGTGTTCGTTTTTATTTTTGCCACTTTTTTCTTTTATTTGTGCAGATAATTTTAGGTATGGTAACGTGAAAAGATGGTTTTCTTACACCATGAAGCCAGCAAACAGTAATCTGTTTAATGGAGATGCTTACTGAGGCCCTAAATCAAAACTGGAAATCCGTGTTCGTGGCATGGTGGAAGGCTGCAAAAAAGAGTTCATATACTATCGTGGAATGCAACTTGAGGGAAAAGAACGGACTGTGCATGCAAAGATATAGTGTAAACCCCACATTTTATGCAGCAACTGCAGTGGATGATCAAATTAAACATATGCTTATCCTCTTCCATGACTTGATGTTTCTTTTTCTATGTCAAATTAGTTCCCTTATATCCAAATTCCAATAAGAAAATGTTTTTGTACTTCTGCCTTTTCCTTTGACTCGAACTTACCTTCAAAGTTGTGCTATATTCTCATAATTAATGGCATTGTCTTTCTTCTTACAGATAGCACAACTTGTGCAGTGCAAGATATTCAAAGGACGACTCCACCCACTCAAAGCAACGGAAACAATAGAAGAAGTCGAGAGCTCTGGGACACCAGATGATCAACCATGGAGATTCTGTAAGGGGATGTTGTTTGTAACGGATGAACCTCAAACCTTTTAGCATAAAACTCCTTTGACTAAGAACCATCATGTAAGTTTTTAGCTGTTAGCGTTGCTTGTCCTACCCTGTGCATCACAACATACAGTGGATATATCCTTACGAAGGTCTTATATTAAAAGGTATGCTGCAGAATGGCAACAATAATGCTATTCTTAGAAAGCAATTGACATGGTTTCTCCTGCCTTTTGTTGCATTAATGCAGTGCTTTTTTCCTGCTGTTTTCAGTTTTAATGTGGCCTTGTCCAATTCTGTCTTGGCAATTTCTCTGCTCTTAATTGCCCTTTCTATCTACCATATATTGATGCTTCATGCAGTTAAACTGCAGATATTGCCGCCCAATATTCCCTTAACAGCAGTGATTGTTAGGGAATACTTTATAGTTTCAAGATTTTGGATGATAACTGACCCTGTAGCACATCAGAGTCTCAACTGATTGTCGATATTTTGCTTTTTTCATTGCCTTCACATATACAAAGGTATTGTTGACTTCTACAGTAACTATTATAACCATCTCTACCTACCTTATCCTTTTATCAGCTAGGGAGCTAGTGTTATGTTTCGATCTTGGTATAGTTTTCCATTCTTGAACTCTTTAGTATTTTTCACTACATTCAAACACAGAAAGGTCTTGTTAGTTTCTCTAATGACCATTAAGTGTCCATAATTCATCGTTAGTGCTACTCAAAAGCTTCTTGTTTAAGGCAAGGTGGGAGGAATAGGGGAACGAATGAACAAGTTATTTTGTATTTCTAGTTTGGTATTATCTATCTATTATTTAATCCAATGTTTGATTAAAATTTAGGACTGTCAATAGGGTTAGGATGACTCGAAATTATCTCATTTGGCCTGAAAGAAAATGGGCTAAACCTATTATAATTCTAAATAAATCAGAGTTTGGGCCTATATTTGAAGCCCAATCAAAAAGTGAGCCAAATTTGGGCTACACAGAATTAGTTCGATTAAAACCCAACCCATTATATATATATATATATATATATATATAGCTATAAATGTAGTATTTTTAAACATGTAATGTATAATTAGACTATTAGTAATCAGTGGAAAAGGAATTAGATTCATTAGATGGATATATTTTTCATGTTTTATTATTATTTTTCATGTATTTTAAAAGAATTAGATACAATTATTGTTAGAAAATTTTGGTTTATGTATTTTTGATGAACTTATTATTGGTGTATGTGTAGTTTTAATGTTGGAGATTTCAAATTAACTTTACTACTAAATGATTATAGTAATTATACTAAGAAAACTAAAAAATAATAAGTGTTTTGGCCTAATTCCAATTTAATCTTAAAATCTGAATGTATTGTGAGTCAAGCACGAGTTTTATATATATTAGCTCGAAATTTATGACCCTAAACCTGAATATCTTACTAACTAGATGAATCAAATCTGAGTTTATTAAAATCCGACTCAGATGACTCAATTGATTGACGGTAATAGATTAAATTAATGCTTTTATATCACCTTGTGATGATGGGTTTTCCTACTTCTTAAGTACATTGCACGTTTTGCCTTCTCTATGTTCATCAATTCCCAGCTTATTGCACTTCCACTGCCCTTTTGGATTTTGGCTAGTAGTGTTTTTGTTCTTCATTCTACAACTATTAGCACTTCACTGACTAGTAATCTTTGGTGGCTGATATTTGGTATTCTCAACAAAAACTTTTGTGCAGTTATAGTGTATTTTTCTTATTCTTTTCTTTTCCTTTTTTTTTTGGGCAATTATACTATCATATGGCCATGGTCACAAATAGACACAGCACCTCTTTCGATGCAGTTGGGATCCTCTGTGCCATTGCTCGGTGCCAAATCCAGTGTCAATCCCACTTATCACGTGTTGATAGAAGAAATTTAAATAAACAACACATGACAAATTAAATAAATATAGAAGTGGCGCTAAATTACCACTGGAAAAGTGGCACTGAGGATCCATGTGCTTTCGATGGGGTTTTCCGTCGCTTATACTCTCCCTCCCCCTAGACTAGGTTAAAGTAAATTACACAGCTATTATCGTTGCGACAAAAAAAAAAAAAAAAACACAAATAGATACAGCAAACAAAAAGCCTTTCTTCTTTTAAAAGAGATGCAAAACCAATATAAAATGTCATCATGGGGAATTTTCTTAAATGACGGATGCTTGCAGTATATATCTAACATCCGATGAAGAAAATTCCCAATGATGGCATTTTATATTGGTTTTGCATCTCTTTTAAAAGAAGAAAGGCATTTTTGTTTGCTGTGTCCATCATGATCAGAAATTATTCCTTCTGCTTCTACTCTGAGACAGAGTCTCATTGGACAAGCTTTATGTGCTGCAAGCACATATGGTTTACACTGATCGTCCACCTTCTGTGCGTTCCATAAATAGCTTGAAGCCATTTTTCCGAGGTTATATCTAGTAGTGTTCAAATCAACATGGTCAAGAAAGCTTTTCAGATGGCTCATTCCATTCTTCTTCTTTTTGGTTCCTATTACGAAAAAGAGTTGCTAGGCACTGAAAATCCTACTGGGGATAAGTAAATTATTGTAAAACCTGGACCAAAATCATTATTGATGAAATGCCCCACAATGTTAAGCTCATTTTCTGTCAAAGTTTTGGCATAAATGCTGTTCTCAGGACCATCCATGCACCATTCTTGCTCAAATTTATGACATGGAAAACATTTGATTCTTGATAAGAAGGAAAAAAATACTCAAAATCTTGACGACTGTTTTGGCTGCTCCTTCACTCGTGCAGTCTTTCTTGTCAAGCGATACAGTAAAATGGAGCTTAAAAACAACTATAGATAAATAATCCTCAGCAATTATTTGGCGTTCTATAACGAAGGGAGGGAATGACAGGGGACTTGCGAATCAATCACTATCACAATGATGGCATATGATCGTTGCATGAGTAATTACAGAGCAAGTACTAAAATAACCTCATAAAGGGTTGCATGAGCTTTTTTTTTTTTTTTTTATTTTTTATTTTTATTGTCTCCGAATGGCTCCTCAAGTCTTAAGGCAGAACAGCAGCCATTAGAATATAGATGTGGCTGAATTTTAATGGAATTAACCTCATCTACCTTTTCTCTCAAAAAAAAAAAAAGGTAGAACAGAATTATTTTGGGGCAAAGAACCTAAGAGCCCTTAATCTATTGACATTGGTAAATTTTTTATCTGCATCTTTTTTTTTTAGTGAAACCTCCAACTTACACTCCCTCCTCCTATACTACTCAACACATCCCTCTCTCCATCTGGCCTGCATCTGTTATTATTTTCAACAATATCAATTGTTGGCATATTATATGAAGGCTCAAAAGTAGAATTTTCATATAATTATTTAGCAGTGTTTTAATAAGTTAAGATTTTAGTAATTCTATTGGAGAGTCAAGTTATGGTAGTTTTATTATTTCAAAATTAGTATTTTATTAGAAAATTTTTTATGGTTATAAGACTTGTTTACCAAATTACGTGATTTATAAATATGGAGTCATATATTATTGTAATCGGTTGAAAAGAGTGAAGGATTAATAGCCTTTTTATTGTATGTGATTCATGATATATTGTTGATTTATTCCCCTTTCCCCCACACATATTTTTTTATGTGTGTAAATTGCCTTCCCATACACGTTTGTTCTATAAAATTTATCTCCTACAGATTTTGGTATAATCTTTGGGTTCTAGATCAATGATCTACTAGAACCATGGTAACTATAACTACTTAATAAAATATATGCTAAACTTGTAAAGACCAGTATTAATTTTCTGATTTCCTTATTCCTCAATTTTCACTCTGTCCACAAGACTACCATAACAATTCCACTGTTTTGCAAGGCGACCACTCACATAGAATAAACACTCACAAAACATAGAAGCTGAACAGTATTTTTAAGACCCAACTCAAGGGATAGAAATATTAGTTAGATAAGCATGAATTCCATAGACTTTCATATCCTCTTCTTACTCCTTCTCCCTTATAGGTCTTAATGTTGCCCTTGAATCAAATATATATATATATATAGGCCAAAAAAAAAAAAAACAAAGAAGAGTTAGAAATCATAAGACTTTGTTTTCCTTGGAAGAAACTGGTGACCTAGTGCTTGTTAAATTGTTAAATAGATGGAGCCGCCCATACAGAATGATTACAGATTGGCATGGGGCCAACTTGAATATGAGGAAAGTATCAACTGAATAATATTTGATGGAAACAACAAAACAACAAATCCATGTCGGTCACTTAATGTATTTTGTGCAGGGTACATTGGCAAAGGGATCATTCGTGTGTGTGTGTGTGTGTGTATAGAGAGAAGTAGATAGATGGATCATTCGTGTGTGTGTGTGTGTGTGTGTATAGAGAGAAGTAGATAGATGCCCTGAATTAATATGTCCACATCAAAATGCTGGTGAGGAGATTGAGTTTAGTGTTATGTGAAAGCAAAAATCTTATCATAAATTCGCAGTAGATAACTGGAGAGAACATGTTGAGCTGCAGCCATATTCATGGTCATCAATTTCCTTGCCCCACCTTCCATTACATTACTGAAAGTTTACCATTCTTGGAAGGAGTTCAAATTACTCCTTTAACCATGCTCAAATGTGGTTGATACTTCTACTTCAAACTCAGTTGTGAGGCACATGGGAGTTAGTTTCATCTGGTTTTACCCATATTAGAAGTCTTTAATCCAATCATTTAACAGTTGTTTGGTCAGTTTTTGCAAATGTGCCTTTAAAAATAAGAATGACCAACTTATTTTTTAGTTAATCTTAGATGATGATTAAAGTAAGGGGATGAATGAGAGTCCAAAAATATGTGAGTGTGGCTTATATATAAAATTTTGTGCTACTTTAGAGGACCAAAATGGAACTCTCTCAACGTTCATATGCTAATTAATCACAGTTGATACTAAAAGTATTGATACTCAGCTTACCCAAAAAAAAAGGGCTAAATATTCATATGTTTAGCCATACTGGATTATCTCCTAGGTTTTTTGTTTTTTTTTTTGGGTTCAGAATATATGCCAGAAGTTTATCTCCAACCAACCCAATCCCAGAAGATGTAAATAAATGAAGTTTCTTAGGTACGTTTGTGTATGGGAGAAGAATGGGCTTCACCTTTTAGGGAATGGTTCCCCGTTGGAAGATAATTGGATTCAATGT